GACTGTTCATACACTATTTCAAATGATTAAACTTAAAATATATATTGAGAGACTCAAGTTTTCATGCCAACGAGAACAAGCTGATTTTATGGCTCTACATGCAGAGAAAGTATGTAGGCTTGTCTGGGCTCTGGGCCCAGTCTCCTGGTTTGAGTAGCCCCATCTTTTCCTTGAATTACTGTCCCAGACGCCTACCTGCCTCTGTTGTCCCTGCTCTGATCTCTACAAAATCTAAAATGCAAATCAACTTAAAAAATGTCCTGCTCTCTTCGATGGCTCCAGTGGCTCCTTGATTAAAATCCAAACTCATTAGCGTTACAAATATTCGTCTTTTGCCTCATCCTGGCTCCTGTTGACAATTTCAGCCCCATCTTGCTCCATGCTTCCTCCCAAACCGTTTCTGGCTCCCCTCACTCAACCTGCTACGCACATTCCCATGCCATAGCTTGTGCTAGGTGCTCTGCCTGGAACGCCCTTCCCTTACTGAATCTGGTTCTTCCTACTTCTCAAGCTTTGACTTAGGCTTTATGTTCTCCAGAAAGCCACTGGGTATTTACCTTTAGGCTGGGTTAACACATCCCATGCCCAAGAGTTCTCATAGCTCTGGGTGTACCTCTACTGTGGCATTTTGCCAAGATATTGAAATGATCAGCTTGTGTCTAAGAACAGGCTCTAAGTTCCCTAGAAGGCAAGGGTTCTATTTCACCTTCTCAGTTCCCAGAGCCTAGTACAGTGACCATCCCATGGAAAATGCTCCCACATCTTAAAGTTGAAATTCTGAAAGGCCTGGTCCTAGGTCCCTGTCTCTGTCTATACTCACTTGCTTGGTGACCTCACCCAGTCTTGTGGCTTTCATCATCTACAGGCCAACGACTCCTAAAGGTTTCTCTCCAACCCAGGCTTCTTTCCCAAATTCCAACTTCAGAGATCCAACTACCTCCTTACCACATGGAGACACTGAGATGTCTTGCAATGGTCACTGCGAACTCAATTTAACATGAAACTACTGACTGCTCCAGCTCTGCCTTACTTGAGCATCCCCATTTCCATTAGAGGCAGCTCCACCCTACCAGTGGCACAGGCAACAGCCTGGGAGTCACCTTTAATTCCTTTTGTAACATATACCATGTGTTAGGAAATGCTGTTGGCTCCATGTTTCAAAAAGATTCAGAATCCAACCACTTCTCACCACCTCCTCTGCCACGCCCCGAGTCATCCTTGTCTCTCACCTGGGTTACTGCACTGGCCTCTTAACTGGTCTCCTTGCTTTCACCCTTGCTTTCACCCTTGCCTTCCTAAGTTCCACTCTCAACACAGCAGCCAGAATGAAGTAAGGCCAGATCATTAGCACTTGTCTTTTCAAAACTCTGCCATGGCTTTCCATTTTAGTCAGTGTAAAAGCTGAAGTCCTTCTAACAGCTTGTAAAGCATGGCACGGTCACGTCCCTCTATTTCTCCAGTCGAATCTCCGATTACTTCTACCCCTTGCTCACTCTATCCCAAGGCTACCATGCTGTGAAGAAGCCGAGGCCACTTGAAGAGGCCATGTGTAGGTCTTTCAGCGGACAATTGCAATTGAAAGCCTGCATCAGTCACTAGAAAAGAGTGAAGACATGTTCAGATGATTTCAGCCCCCAGCCTTGAAGACTTCCTAGCCAAGGCTCTGGACACCGTGTTGAAGAGACTGGGTGTCCCTGTTGTACACTGCACAAATTCCTGACCCACAGAATCAGTAAGTACAAGATATTGGTTATTTTATGTTGTTAAGATTTGGTGTGGTTTGCAACACAGCAAATGGTATTTTTTACTGTCTTGCATACTACATTATATAATTTGCTTATTTTTTAAGTTTATGTTTATTTCCTATTTCCCTTGCTAGAATACAAGCTTCAGGAGGGCAAAATTCTTTGTTTTCTTCACTGTTGTATCCCAAATACCTAGAATCGTCCTTGGCAATAGTAAATATGTATACATATATTTTTGAGATGGACTTTCGCTCTTGTTGCCCAAGCTGGAGTGCAATGGCGCAATCTCTGCTCACCACAACCTCTACCTCTTGGGTTCAAGAGATTCTCCTGCCTCAGCCTCCCGAGTAGCTGGGATTACAGGCATGTGCCACCATGCTTTGCTATTTTTTTTCTTTCTTTTTTTTTCTTTTAGTAGAGACAGGGTTTCTCCATGTTGGTCAGGCTGGTCTCAAACTCCTGACCTCAGGGGATCCGCCTGCCTCTGCCTCCCAAAGTGCTGGGATTACAGGCATGAGCCACTGTGCCTGGCCAGTAAATAGCAAATATTTACTGAGCAAATTTTAAGTGATTGTTCAACTGAATTGAATTTTGTCTTCTAACACAGCTTGCTATGGCTGAGCTGTCCTTTAGATGTCAACTTGTCAAACCCACTCATTTGTATGAAAAAATTGAACAGAACAGGGAAGTGACAGGCAACAAACAGCATGTAGCAGGTTGGTATGAGAGTAGGCCTGGAGGCTCAGGAGTCTTATATGTGCAATAGGACACTGATTCTCCCAGCAGATCTGTGACTCTTATGCTCAGGATGAAGATTCCAGATATCACAGGAGCCTTGATGATCAAAGTAATATCCAGCTGTATTCTGGGCGGGCACTGTGGGCTAGCACATTGTGAAATGACTTTTATCAGGCAAAAGTTTCCAATTAACCCTCAGCTAATCTGAAAATAATGCTAACTAGAAGCTAAGCTTTACAGCTTGCTGATCAATATAATTATAATTGAACTAATTGAGGCCATGGCTAGCCTAGTTAGACTTCTGGTTGTAGTTCAAATGATGAAATGACATGTATTGTTGGTTTTCTCATTATAAAAGCTGATCATTTCCATGCTAGAAAGTTTGGAAAATGCAAAAGTGTACTAAGAAGAAATTTTAAAAAGCAACTCATCACACAGGGATGAATGCTTTAAAAGAAATATTAATCTGGAAGGAAATGCATGAAAGTTGTCAAACACACTTGTAATTCTGTCTTCAAATGTCAGGAGCAAGTTCTTACATATGTGTTTCTCAGCATTTGGCTGCTTGTCCCTTTTTTTTTTTTTTTTGGTAAGCCACATATCTCCCTTAATGATATTTGAAACTTTTAATTAAATTGTTATGACTAATGTGGAATATACCATTCCAAACAACATAACCTTCCTGACATTTGCTCAACAAACAGGTTTACATACACACATAAAGCACGCTCACATGCATCCTGCTCCCCAGAGACTGGGGCCTTTCAGCCCCCTAGAAAATGAGACCCAGGGATGGGAGGGGACGAGATCATCTTCTTCAACTCTAATTCAAACATTTTTTCAAGATTTGTAGATGAGACTATGAAAAATGCTATTTTACTTAGACCATATTTAAAATTAAGTGCTTGTTCTCCCAAGCTGGTAATTACTCACATCCATTAATATAAAATTTTTTTCTCATAAATATGTCAAACACGCCCCTTGTCACCATGTTTTACACTCTCATAAAGTTTTAGGACCAGATAGGTCCTGAGAAATCACCTTATCCCAATTCTTCATTCAACTAATAAAGAATTTTAAAACTCAGAGAGCAAAATTCTAAAATCAAACAGTTTACTACACTGGAATCCAGCTGTCTGGACCCCCAGTTTAGCACAATTTCATGACCTCATACGACTTGAGAAATATTGCTTTGTAAGCTCTTTCTCAGAATACAATCTGAGGGATAAACTTAGTCTGCAATATTAAGAATTCCAAATGTGTGGACTCTGAGCCAATGAGTTTTCTACTGCATACAGTGACAGCGAATCGAGCATATCTGGGGCACTCGCTCCATGCGAAGAGAAAAGAACAAACAACAAAAATCCACAAATGCACAAATTGTGTACCGCAACTCAGAGTGTGGTACACAGAAGACACTCAAAAGATGTTTTAGGAAGGAAGGAGGGAAGGGAAAGAGAGGAAAGGAAAAGTGAAGAAAGGAATTCTTGTTTTCAAAGCTGGCTGCAGCTGGATTCTACCTGCAACTAGGAGAGCTGCAGAATTATTCCTGGAGAGTGAGCTGCTCTTTGGTTCAGAAAAATGTCTTAATGCATTTTCTATTTTATTTTGCTTTTTGTTTGTAAAAGGTGAGGCCTAATGGACAGGATTTGAAACAAAAAGAGTGAGATAAAGAAAGCTAAATTGTTCTGCAAAATAAAAGAGGAATGTGGGGCCCTTTGTCTGTATGCTGAGGGAGGGGTGAAGGAAGTTTAGAGGACATTAGAGAAAACGCTGGGGAGAAATTGGATAGAGCCCTGTCAGGAGAGCAGAACCTTAGAAGGGCTTACCAGCAATGTAGATGGTTAAGGAATTTATGAGAAGAACAGTATCACACTGAGGTGCTTCCTGTACTTTGCTGCAATCCCTTTCTATTATTCCCTAAACCTTGGTAACAAGCCCTACCTGCAAATCCTTTGTATTAGAGATACTTTGGGCAGGTGGGAAAGGGATGCCCAATGCAGGAGTGAAGAGAAGATGCAGAAAGAGAAAACTGGTCACTGGAGATAAAGCCTTGCCTTCGGGAGGGGAGCAGCGACGAGAATATCACAGGAGCTTGAGTAGGAGACAAGAGGTGACCAACAGCAAGCAGGGGAGATTTGCTGGCTTTTCTACAGCATGTGGGATGGGAGCCTGAGCCATTTTCTGTCATATTGAATGGAGTGAGACTCCAAAGTGTAGAATCTTTGGAGCTAACTGGATAATGAAAGGGGAAGGGGAGAGAAACAACAGTGAAAAAGGATGTCTTAGAATTATATAGCATGGTGCTTCTCAGATTTAATGTGTATACAGATCATCTAGTTTCTGGTTAAAATGTAGGTTCTGATTCAGTAGGGCGAGGTAGGGCCTGAGATGCTGCATTTCCCACACGCTCCCAGGTGATACTGATGCTGCTGGCCAGGGAGCCATACTTTCTGTAGCAAGGCTTTAGTGCCCAAATAAACAATCGGGAAGTTTCCCCACAGGCTGGTCTCTTACCTCATATTCCTCCTTAAACCCGTAGCCCTGGCCTCTCTTCATCTGTGTGATATGCTGCAGCAAGTCAGCCACCCGGATGGCAGGCTGGAACTGGTCCCGGGGGTAACTCATCTCCACAGGGTCACAGGCGCGGTAGGGATGAGTCTGGATCGTGAGGGTGGGCTGGGAAAGCTCCCCACGGCTGCCATCTGCTTCGAAAAGAAGGAGGCAGAACAGATCATCACCTACAGAAGCTTCGTCCTTCGTTCTCCTTGTCTCGCCCAGCTTGGCCTGAGGACGGCACAGGGAACCAACCTGGGACTCATGTGATCAAGAAACTGCAGAAAGATTGGAGATACACTGCTTTCCTGGCATGGCTATGTTGGTAGATCAAAATCTCAAACCCACAAACAAACCAATGAACACAATACATTTCAAGGGTACCCACTGATAAAGGAGAAGTTCCAGCTTGGTCATCATCCCTGTCACTGTCCTTCCTTTAGGCTGGGTGGGCAGAACCACTGAGAAGCTAGGCAGGCTATTTATTGGGAGCCCCCTTCTGTTTAGGAAGCAGAGAGGCTGGAAATAGTGTCTGATGCCTCTCTGCACGGGAGGAGAGCCTCAGGTGCCCGAAGGTTGGAGTCACACGTATGCTTCTGATCCTTTTGCCTGCATCCCTGTGACCTGACTTGTCTACTATTTTGTTTCCTTTGAGTTTTACCCTGGGAGGAACTGGAACTAGTCTTGGACTGCCAGCAGCTAGCAGGGACCCTTACCCTCCCAGCTGCTCTCTCTAGTTATGAGCTCTGCCACAGCAACCACCTTCTTGCTATTGTATACTTTCCCCACCACTTAATACTATTAATCCAGTGGCACCGTTGAACCACCTTGCAGGTAAGGAAGCCTGGACCTCTTCCTTCAGTGCTGCTGGCTACTTTCCCCAGGCCTGGATCCCATGCCCCATCTCCTTCATAAAATCTCTCCCTGATGTAAGGTCTATATATTCTCTCTTGAAAAAAACCTTTTCATCCAATGAGTTGTTTTAACTGCCTTCTGTTAGTTGGCCACCCTGGAAACTGATGCCTGCTCAGATTGGTTTGAATTCTTCTGTTCCCCTTGGACCACTGAAACCAATGTCTTGCCCTACCACCTCCCTGCCAGGCATATACTGTCGGTCTTTCAGGGCCAGTTTACTTTTCCCAGAACCATCCAGGCTTGGTCTTCCCAAGCTCCTCCCAAAGACATGGACAGTCTATGCCCTGGACCATCCTGTTTGTGGCATGCAAGTGATGAGAACTGCCAGTGTGGCAGCTGATGTGTCTCCCCCAGATGTTTTCAGACACTGCGAAGCACCCGTGCGGATACCCACTTGGCCTATGCCACACTCATTCCCTGGGAGGCTTAGCATATGTTCCTGATTTTCTGCAACTTGTCTTTTCAAAATCCATGTTCCCTTCAGCTTGTATGCCTGTCATGTTGCAATAATCCATCAGACATGGATTCTGTGTGTGAATGCACACTCTACTTCCTTGCGACAGCATCAGCAAGCCTGTTCCTGGCAAGGAAAGAAGAATGGAAGGGAACATCTGGCCTTCCTGCTTTCTAGGTGACCAACTCATCCCAGTTCAACTGACAATTTTCTGGTTTTAGCACTGAAAGTTCAGCTCTTGGGAACTGACCTCTCAGTCATGGGCAAATGGGAATGGTTGGTCACCCTGATACTTTCACTTATATTTGTGGTTGGAGTAGGGAATACATTTTTCACTTTGCAGCCTTCTGCCTGCCCCCACTTACTGGCTCCTCCAAGGGAGGAGAGGCTACTAATCTGACTGGTCTGACCTTGTGACACTGATTGGGTCATACCTAATTAGTAGGTGGGGTCATCATATGCACAGCGTCGTCTCTAAAAGTTCCTGAGTCCGGGTGGTAGGTAAACATCCCCAAAGCAGAGACTATCATTTGGGGACCAGCCAAATAACCCCTGGATTACCTACAGAAGCATTTCTAAGATTTAGATTTATGCACAAGAAAGAAGGACCTAGGCAAGTTGTTAGCAAAACCTTCCTGACTGCCCAGAAGAGAAATACTGCTTACTTTTTCTTCTGAGATTTTAGGTAAAAGATAGTACATGTCCAATGGCACTGCTCAAATGCACCACTTGGCAAATATGGGGGCTGTTTCCTTTCTCCATCGCCCCCTTGGGTTCATGAGTTAGACTTACTGAGAATGCACACTATGCCAAGTGTTTGACTCATCTGTCGGGGAGCAGTGGCAATGCAGACAGAAATACTGATTCCACCCTCAAGGCTTGATGGTCTAGCAGGGAAATAGACAAGAAGAACCAACTGAAGAAAAATGATGGAGCCTGAGCACATTTAGGTAAGAGCAAGGAGGTTGATAAGGAGTAAAAGCTGTGGGTACATTGAGATACCATCTCACGCCAGTTAGAATGGCGGTCTTTTAAAAATATGGAGACAACAGATGTTGGAGAGGATGTAGAGAAATAGAAACACTTTTACACTGTTGGTGGGAGTGTAAATTAGTTCAATCATTGTGGAACACAGTGTGGCGATTCCTCAAGGACCTAGAAATAGAAATTCCATTTGACCCAGCAATCCCATTACTGGGTATACACACAAAGGACTATAAATTGTTCTATTATAAAGACATATGTACATGTATGTTCATCACGGCACTGTTTACAATAGCAAAGACCTGGAACCAACCCAAATGCCCATCAATGAGAGACTGGACAAAGAAAATGTGGCACATATACACAATGAAATACTATGCAGCCATAAAATACGATGAGTTTGTGTCCTTGGTAGGGACATGGATGAATCTGGAAACCATCATTCTCAGCAAATTGACATAAGAACAGAAAATCAAACATCACACGTTCTCACTCATAGGTGGGTGTTGAACAATGAGAAAACGTGGACACAGAGAGGGGAGCATCACACACTGGGGTCTGTTGGGGGGTTGGGGGGACAGTGGGGGGTGGGGAGGGTAAGGAGGGATAACATGGGGAGAAATGCCAGGTATAGGTGATGGCGGGATGGAGGCAGCAAACCACCTTGCCATGTATATACCTATCTGACAATCCTGCATGATCTGCACATGTACCCCAGAACCTAAAGTGCAATTTTAAAAAAAGCTGTAGGTAGAAATGTCAGAGGGGACAACACTGTAAGCAGTGATACAAGGCAGATCCAGAAAGACTGTGAATGTGTGACTCTTGAAGCCAGTGTGAAGATGCTGAAGGATTTTAGAAGGAATCTCCTTCTTCAAAGACTCACACTATTTCTTGTAGGTGCCCTAGCTGTCATGGGTAGCTGTCATGGAAGGCATCCTTCCAGCAAATATCACTCCTGTGATGGTGTGATGGGAAATGGAGAGGAAAGGAGTACTTGTGTTTGACTCATCTAGAGGTGGTACAAAGCTATGGCAGGAGCCACAGAGGTGTGGATCGTGAATACCTACAGCTTGGAGTCATGCCATACTCCATGATTTCTAGGAAAGAATGAGCCGAGTCAATGCTAGGAGACCTGTGAGTATTTCTTATCAAAACTACCATCACACATGGGGACAGATGTCTTCAGAGACCTACAGTTTCCCAGAGGAACCTGGAGCATGGGCTGCATGGGAAACCAGCTGTCTTGGAAAGACAGGCTTCCTAGGAATGGGAACTCAGCTTTGTGTGTGTGTGAGAGATGTCAAATGTTTCCAAAACCAAATAGCTGTCAATATGGATGTTTTCCCTAAACACATTGCTAGACAGACTGTAAACTTGGTGTCAGCAAAACCAACACTGGAATGGAAAACAAATGCATTGAAATTTAACAACTTGTATTGCTGTAACATTTGCAATAATGTCAATGCCAGTGCTAATGATGGTATGAAGACTCAGAACCAAGGGATTTTCAAGGTTTATTAATCCAATGAGTTGGACTCCCCTTTCCAATGTATCTTACCTCACCTATTCCCTTATTAACCTCTGATAATGCAGAAGTGATGTCTTTTATCACACCCCATTTCACCAGACGCACTATACTTAATTTTCCATCATTAGGTTTAATGAAAACCTAATTTCACAACTCACTTCTCTCAGGAACCTACAAGTAATGCTACGTTTTTATCAGGCCCAATTAAAAAACGTTATGATGTTCCTATTCGAGAGGGAGCCTTAAAACTAATGTGCGATTCTGCTGCTAATTCAACAAGGGCACTGGAATTCACATGCTGCTCATAAAATGTAACTCACACCAGCTGGCCCAGGGACAGAGCCTTTTTCATGTTTTCTCATCATCATCCCTTCATTCTCATGTCATTTCAACTTCTCATTTATGGGTCTGGTGTGTTTATTTATCACGTAATAATATTTTGGATTTCTTTCGCACTTTTTATCTAGCTGTTGCCTAGCCCTGTGAATTCCCCTGCAGTAACTCTTGTCACTACCTGCGAAGGGCTTGTGGGATAGGCAGAAGGATTTTGGTGATGTGTATGAGATTTTGGGCCACTGTCTCCCAGATTTCTTCTTTGCTGTCTCTCTGTTCTCCCTCCTCTTCCTTGGGCCACCCCCGCTACCCCGCCCCAACCCCCACCCCCTGCTATGGGCCATATAGATCTCCCTCTACCTTCAGTCACATATCTCCAATCACCTGCTAGGAATTACCACCCCAACTGGTCAAGAAATATTTATTGAGTACTTATGCTGTACAGTGCATCATGTTAGATACTGCGATCATAGAGGAAGCAGTTATGTTTGGGGAGAAATAAGCAGGCCACAGCCCTTGAAGGAGGGGAGAAGAAAATATAAAGTGTGCGTGAATAAGTCTAACCAAGAGAGGAAGAGACAGGCACCTGGGAGATGGAAGAAGGGTGTGCCATGGGGTTTGGCAATCTGGAAACATTCTCCAGGATTTAGGCATTCATGATCCACCTCTGTGGCTCTTGCCATAGCTGTGTACCATCTCTATGAGAGCTGTCCAATAGGACTTTCCACAACAAGGAAGCATTCCACATCGATGCTCTGCAATTTGGTGGCAACTAACCACAGGTGGCTACTGAGCATCTTGAATGTGGCTAACAAGACTAATGAACTGAATTTTAAATTTTGTTTAATTAATTTAAATGGAAATATCTACAGGTGGCTTATGTCTACTATATTGGGCAGTGCAGATGTACAGAAAGAGACGAGGAAAGGAAGATT